AACGCCAACCGAAATCAGGAGTTTCTTGGGGTTAGCTGGATACTATAGAAGGTTTGTAGAGGGATTTTCCTCACTTGCAGCTCCATTAACTAAGTTGACTCAGAAAGCAGTTAAGTTCCAGTGGTCAGACGCTTGTGAGTAGAGTTTTCAAGAGTTAAAGAAGAGGTTGACTACTGCACCTGTGTTAACCTTGCCGACAAGTTCGGGTGGATTCACAGTGTATTGTGATGCCTCTAGAGTGGGTCTTGGTTGTGTTCTTATGCAATATGGAAAAGTTATTGCTTATGCTTCCAGGTAGTTAAAGAATCATGAAAAGAACTACCCCACTCACGACTTGGAACTTGCAGCAGTGGTGTTTGCATTAAAGATATGGCGACACTACCTTTATGGCGAGCATTCTGAAGTGTTTACAGATTACAAAAACCTCCAGTACATTTTCAAGCAAAAAGAATTAAATTTGAGACAAAGAAGGTGGCTCGAGCTATTGAAAGATTATGATATCAATATCCTTTATCACCCGGGAAAAGCTAATGTGGTAGCAGATGCACTTAGTAGGAAGTCAATGGGTGTCTTGGCCCATCTTGCAGTACAAAGGCGATCTTTGGGTCAAGAAATTCAAAAACTAGCAAATAATGGGATTAGATTGGATGAGACCGAAGAAGGAGGTATAACTGCTTATGCCTTAGCGCAATCCTCCCTTGTTGTGCATGTTAAGGCTAAGCAAGACGAAGATCCGTACTTAATGAAGTTAAAAGAAGGAGTCAGAAATAAAGAAATCACTATTTTCACTCTAGGAAGTGACGGAGTTTTAAAGTTGAATGATCGGTTATGTGTGCCTGATGTAGATGGTCTTAGAAAGTCCATAATGGAAGAAGCTCACAGCTCGAGGTACTCTATCCACCCAGGTGCTACCAAAATGTATCTGGACTTGAAAGGGTTGTATTGGTGGAAAGGCATGAAGAANTAGCAGATCATGTGGCTAAATGTTTGAATTGCCAGCAAGTCAAAGCCGAGCATCAGAGGCCTGGTGGCCTAGCTCAAGATATAGAAATACCACAGTGGAAATGGGAGATGATTAATATGGATTTCGTAGTAGGTCTACCTCGCACATACCGTAAGCATGATTCAATTTGGATTATTGTAGACCGACTGACAAAGTCCGCGCATTTCCTACCAGTAAAGACGACAGATTCCGCAGAGCAGTATGCGCAGTTGTACGTCAAAGAAATAGTCCGATTGCATGGCACTCCAGTTTCAATCATATCTGACAGAGTCCCTCAGTTCACGGCGCATTTTTGGAAGGCATTTCAGAAAAGATTAGGTACCAAGGTCAATTTGAGCATCGCTTTCCATCCACAGACCGATGGCCAGGCAGAAAGGACACTCAAAGATATGCTGCAGGCATGTGTTATAGATTTTAGAGGTAATTGGGATGATCACTTGCCACTTATAGAATTTGCTTACAATAACAGCTATCAGGCCAGCATTGGTATGGCTCCTTATGAAGCGTTGTATGGGCGAAGATGTAGGTCTCCAGTGGGTTGGTTTGAACCAGCAGAGGTTCCATTGATTGGTCCAGAGTTTGTTTGTGAGGCCTTAGAGAAAGTCCAGCTAATCAGAGAAAGACTGAAAGTGGCTCAGAATCGTCAAAAGTCCTATTCTAACAAGAGGCATCGTGACTTAGAGTTCATGGTTGGTGATAAGGTGTTTTTGAAAGTTTCACCAATGAAAGGAGTTATGAGGTTTGGTAAGAAGGGGAAACTTAGTCCTAGATTTATTGGACCTTATGAGATTATAGAAAAGAAGGGAAATGTGGCTTATGAGCTAGCGTTGCCCGTTCCTTTGTTCATCCTGTTTTTCATGTGTCTATGCTTAGAAAGTACATTCATGATGAGTCGCATATAATACCTGCCGATACCATAGAAATTAAAGAAGGCTTGACTTATGAAGAGGTACCTATAGAAATTCTCGATAGGCAAGTAAGAAAGTTGAGAACAAAAGATATAGCATCGGTAAAAGTTTTGTGGAGTAATCATGATTCAAAAGAGGCTACGTGGGAGGTCGAGGAAGATATGAGGAAGAAATATCCATATTTATTTGAGGAAAAAGGTATGTGAACCTAAGTTTGGCTTGGCATATATATTTTATTTATTAAATACAAGTTAGCATGTGTTTATGTCCTTGCTAGATTATACTTAGTTGTTGAAGTAATTTAGTTTCTGTCTGAGTATATTTAGTTATTTAATAATTTAGTGCCATCCCAGAGTATATTTAATTCATTACAGTTATTTACTTTTTGCAGAAGTATTGTGCTTTAGATTTTGGTTGGTTATTGTGGTACCTCCTTGCCGGAGTATGAGTAATTAGTTTATGAGTTGTGTATGGTGCATATGAATGGCCTGTTATGGTATATTTGGTTGTTGTTGGTGTAGTTGTGGTATTGGTGACAGAGATATTTTTTTGGATAGTCCAATTTACAGAGGAGACTCTGCCGAAATTTTTGAAAATTTAGGAAGTTAGCCAAAATTTTTGAGTCCCTTGGGAAAGTTAGTAGTGCTAAGAAAACTTAAAAAGTTCAAGAACTTAAGGAATGATTATTAGCTTAAGAATAAGGCCCTAGCAACATTCGAGGACGAATGTTTTTAAGGAGAGAAGATTGTAACACTCCTCAAATCTATAGAAGTTTAAGCACTCGCTAAATATAGAATTAAATTTTTTTTAATCTTAAAATTATACTTCTATTATGGATTTAAACTCTTGTGATTAATTTTTGAGTTACTTCTCTATTTATAAAGAATTGGATATACAATTAGGGGAATATTAATAATTTTAATATTATTAATTATTGAAAGTGGGTATCATTAATTATTAGTTAAGTGAAAACAAAACAAAACAAAACAAATAAATAAAAGCAATAAAACAAAAATAAGGGGGGGCAAGCCTAAAAGCCCATAAAGGGTTGTTGTAACCAAAAAGGATTGAAAATCCTTATACGAGAACAAGCATTATGTTCGTTCTCACGAACAGAGAACCACGGGCAGCTTACTCACGCAGGCAACAGGAAGTTCTAGGTTTCTTTACAAATCACTAATTCTTGTACTCAAGTATATAAAATTTTTTATTCTCAATTATCGTACAGTATAAGAATTGGATAGTTAATTACTTTCTTTCTCTGTATCAACAGTAAGTTCCATGTTTAGGCGTGAAACTTTGAAATTAATTCAAATGCACTGGTCGTTGTAGAATCAATTATTTGACGGGTATAAATTGGACTGGGGCCTACGTATTGACTCAAGGAGTTTTGAGGTGAGTTGATATAACCCGTTACTAAAATGGTTTAACTCACAAAAGCACGCATACAAGGTATTTGATGAATTATTTAAAAGAGTTAATATGTACTTAATTGGAGCGAGTAAGTACCTATTGGCTTAGAATTGTTCTAGTTAAAGTTTAGATGATTTATTCTAATATATTAGCAAACAACACATAAGTTTATCACAGAGAAAGAGAAACAGAAGAATTACTAGTCAACGTTGTAACTCGAAGGACCAGAAAGCAGGCCAATTTCATTTTTAATTTAACTTCCGTAACAACAAAATGAGTTATCATGTGAAAAAGGAACTGTATACTTGAAAAGTCACAAGAAGAAGTTTTAGAAAGAGAAGATTTTTGAAAGTATCCTTTATTCTGAGAAGGGGTCATCGTCCAGGCCGAGGGTCCTGACCAAGGCGTTGACTTCCTGAAACTACTTGTGCCAAAGTAGGGAGCACACGAGCCGAGGGTCTCGTTGTTGAGAATTTACTTAGCCAGGCTAAGGTATGATACATGAGAGCTGTGAACCATGAAGCGAGTGGCACCTCGTGGATTGGGCCTATTCGATCAGGTTGGGATCGAACCCGTGCCAATCACACGGTGACTAAAACAGAAATAGGTCAGGATAGTTGGAACTCCCAAAGTATAAAGTGATGTATTTTTTTTTTAAAGAAAAAGAAAAGAATTTCTTTTAGAATATTCATAAACTGCTATTATGCAATTATTTTAGAATTGTTCTTATAAGCTTTATGTTTTACATGCATTTAGAATCTTTGCTTGTAATGTATATATTATTAAAGTTTCGTCCCCTGTTGTTGAGACTTACTGAGTACAATGGATGGTACTGACGTTCTCTTTTGGGAACCTACGTTGGTCTACAGTACAACGTAGGAACCGGTTTTGCAGGCGAACAGGCTACGGGTTAGGACTTCCCTCACTTCCAGTGCTATTGGTGAGCTCCGCTTTTGTTCGCGGAGTACTCCTTAGAGTCATCTTTATTTAGCTATTTCTTTATTCACTTAGAGAACTGGCCAGGAAATCTCATGTCCTGAGCAGTGCGTCAGTTTATCAGTAGAGGCTTCATAGACACAGTCGGTGGGTTAAGATTCAGATGTTTTGATAATAACTTAGCAGTATTTCGGTAGTTACTACGAATAAAGTTTTGGAGTTGATTTATTTTAAATATTTAAATTAATCAAAAGTATTTGTTTAAAGTATTGCCTTATTGCATCTAAAATTTGAAGTTATAATAGATTTGATAAGCACAGATGGTTCGCTCGGTCATGTTTAGTGATCGGGTGCCGGTCACGGCTTGTTCAGAAAATGGGTCGTGACAGGGACAACGGGGAATGGCAGGGGTTCAATTGGGGATGAAGGGATGATGCCTTTTTTCTCTTTTCTTTTTATCTATTAAAATAAGAAAAACAAAGAAAATCAAATAAAATCTTAACACGTGGGCTGACACAAGGATTTGGACAAAATATATAGAGGTTTTACGCGCTTAGTCATTTTTGTCAAACACGCGCTGGCCATTTGGCAAAAGTGGTGTGTCTTAGACACGCTTTGAAAATGTTGAGTGTGTAAAGTAATTTTTGTCCGCAAAAAATGTGTCACGGGGATTTGGTCCATAGGACAGGGGGTAAACTATGTATGAACGCTATTGCAAACATGCGACGAGATATCCGTGCATTAGCCATTTTATTTCAAAAATTAAAAAGGACAAGATATTGGTAAACAAACTAATCCTGTCTTTTCCCATGTAATCAACATCAACCATGTAAAAGATAATACCGAGTACAAACACCGACAAAATCTCTCTTTGCCAAAATATGCTTTTCCTAGGGTGAGAAATTCCAACTCACTCATTCATCATCCTCCTGCATGTTATTGTGTCCATCTAAAATGTAACATAAGTTTGTAGCTACTTGCGTCTTGAACAAGAGGACTCAGTCCTGCACATGCAGAGAACAGAAGTAAAACCTTCTGGGTAATATAGACACTGTTTTATCAAACATTCTGAGATGAAGAAGACAAGTTACCACATAAGAAAACATACTGCTCAGGAACATACCAGCCTTTCATCAAGAAGTTGTTGTTGGAAATTGTCCTTGACAATGTTAAATATTTTCAGTCATACTGCTGTCAACTTCTACCTCGAGTTGGCAGCTGTATTCTCTTCGTACAGTCATCCCACAGTATAGAGTAACTTGGGTGTGTGTTTAACTTGAAGACAAGACCAGGCTTCCCATGCACCACCCACCCAAAGGATGAGTTCCTTAGAGATTGAAAACTGGATTTTATATGATCTGTTGGAGTCTGCACAATGAAATTGTCCAGCAAAACCAAAGGCCTTTAATGTGCAAGAGCACCTTTAAAAAAGTTTACCCTGTACATGCAATTTTGATTTCATGTTGCCATTTGCTGTCACTCTAGCCAATTCATGCACATATTCGAACAAATATGGCAATATGACAAGTAATTCAATCAACAGTAGGAGTATGGTACGTTTTAGTAACTTCAGGTTGAGATCACCACCAGAATAAATAGTTCAAGCCTTACAAACCAAATGCTTCTCTTCCATACTTCAGAGGTGACACGCTAAGCCTTTCATGTTTCGTCTGTTTTGAAACGCCTCATAAGCAACATCCCTTCTCCAAGTTAGACAGCATTTGATCTATTACCAATAATCATTAAATTAACACTTCCCATCAGATAAATGATGAAATCATTATACTTTCAATAATGGTGGTGTACTAACCAACTTGCGCCCACCTCGACTAATTCACTGAGTACCTGCTACCTCCTACCAGTACAAATACATGGGTAACTCTGTCCGCAAGCTTAGACATATAAGAAGAAATTATCTATCATTTTTTTTTGCCTCTGCTGGTATTTGAAGTTTTGAACCCTGATCTGCCAAGGTCTTTCCAACTTCATTGACAATAAGTCACTCACTCGGGTGCACAAAATGATGAATTTGCAGGAGATTAATAATACTATTTGCCTACCATCAACTTGGCTACAGTTTTAAAGTGGGTTTGATATGCGTAATTCTCCTTACCTTCTCCATGCTCCTTTGATTTCATGGTGTCATTTATTGTCATTCTAGCTGATTCATGCCATAAAATATTTAAGAAATATGGCAAGTAATTCAAATGATATCAAGATTATGGCACGCTTTAGTAACTTCATGTTGAGGTCCTCGTGACATGCTACCTTTTCATTGCTGCCTCATTACGCAGTATCCCTTTCTCCAAGTTAGACAGCATCTGATATATCACCAGTAATCGTTACATGAACACTTTCCATCAAAAAAATGATGAAATCTGTTGGAGTCTCGTAATACTATTTGTCTACCAACAACTTGTGATATGTATTTGAAGGCAGAGTGACAGTCCCCACAAACTCGGAGGTTTTTCATTATTCTTATCGGCATATCTGATTTCCGTGTAAGAACAAAGGCAACTGCAAGTCTCTCGCTATGATAGCTGAGGAGTTCTTCCTTATTCTCCAGTTCAAGATCATACAAGGCATATTTAATCTGTGGCACATACCCTGCGTCCCTAATCTTCTTGTGCAATTCCTTAAGTTTTTCATAAATTGCGTCTTTATCTGGATGTGATTGATCACCAGCTACAAAAACATGAACACCATCTCTCATGTTAACCCAACTGCATCCAGCTTCTTTCCTTACCGTAGCTTCTCGCATTGCACGCCGAGCCTCTGCCACATCCTCCCATTTCCCTCCCGAAGCGTACATATTTGCAAGAAGCACATAGTTCACAGCATTATGAGGTTCCAGCTCTAAGAGCATGTGAGCAGCCTTCCTACCTAGATCTGTTTTACGACCGCCTGCTCGACCACAGGCTCCAAGCACAGTCCTCCAAATGAGTGCATTGGGTTTTAATGGCATTTTGTTGACGAAGTCCTCCAATTTATCCATCTGACCTGCTCGTCCCAGGATATCAACCATGCATGAGAAATGCTCAATCCGTGGTGTCAGACCATATTGTTTGCTCATGGAATCAAAGTAATCCATGCCCTGCTCAACAAATCCCACGTGGCTACAACCTGATAAGACACCAACAAAAGTGACATGGTCAGGTGTTTGACCTTCCAGCTTCATTTTTGTAAAAAGCTCTAGTGCTTTATGTCCATGTCCATGCCGTGCATAACCAGAAATCATTGAGTTCCATGAATATATATTTCGTACTGGCATCAACTCAAAAAACCTGGAAGCATAATCTATTCTTCCACATTTGGCATACATGTCAACAAGAGCACTCCCAACAACAACGTCAGATTCCAAACAGGATCTAATCGCACAAGCATGAACTTCCATGCCATGCTCCAATGTTGCAATTGAGGCACATGCACTGAGAACAGAGGCAAATGTGAAGCCATCTAATTTCTGACCCTTGTGCAGCATAAGCCAGACTAAATCCATGGCTTTTGGTAAGACCTCATTGTGTAAATATCCAGAGATCATTAGATTCCAACTCATATCATCCTTCCTGTCAGACATCCGAGAGAATATGTTCTCACAGTCATCCATTTCCCCGCACTTACCATAGCAAGCAAGAAATGAATTTTCAATAGCATTAGCATCCATTCCACTATATTTTAGCACCAGAGCATGGATTTGACGAACAAGACCAAGAAGAGAAAGTGATGATATTGCTGAAAGGATATTTATAAACGTCACATTGTTGAGACTCCATCCAGCACGCATCATCTGTGTGAAGTTCTCTATAGCTTCAGAAATAGATGTCTCAGAATCACCTAATGCACCGATAATGGTATTCCATGAAACAAGATCATACTCTGGCATTAAGGTAAACAATTTCTTGCATTCAGTCACACATCCAGTATCAGCATACAAAGCAAGAAGAGCATTAGACACTGAAACATCAAAATCTAGTCCTAACTTTATCCCTTCACTGTGCAGTTGTTCCCCCAATCTTATCCAATTCAGGTTTCCACAAGAACTCAAAGAACTTATCAATGAGTAATTTGAAGCCATCAATCCTGTTCTTCTCATAATTTGGAAGGTTGATATTGCATCTTCAAAACAATCATTTTGATCTAGAGCGGAGATCATAGAGTTCCATGATACTGAATCCTTATCGAGCATGATCTCAAAAACAGAACGAGCAATCTGGATTTCACCAAATTTAGAATACATATTAATCAGAGCATTTCCAATAGCAGCCTTGGAGTCACACAAACCAGTTCGGATAACATAGGCATGTAGCTCTCGACCTCTTCTTCTCCCTTCTTCCAACAAAGAGAATTCATGAAAAGCACCGAAAAGAACAACGAATGAATCAGAATTGATTTTAACCAAGTCTCTCATCTGCATAAAAACTCTGGTCGCGTCTTCTCCTTGACCCAGTCTCACCAATCCGACCATGAGCCCGTTCGTGGACACTGCATTCCTTGTACCCATCTGTTTAAAAACCTTCATAGCAGTATCGAGACACCCAAACCTTCCAAAACCACTAACCAGAGCACTTCCTACATACAAGTCTTCCAAAAGTCCAGATTTTTCTATTTTAGCCAGTAGCTGCTTCAGCAAAGACAAACCATAATTAACATGCTTAGCAGCAGCTGTAATTAAGCTGCCAAAAGTGAACTCAGTTGGTATAAAAATAAACCCCAAATCTTCTTTTTGCATATCAGAGAAGAGCTGAAACACAGAAACTGCATCTCGCTGAGAGTAAACTGAAATAATAGAATTGCAAGATGCTGAATTCTTATTCTCTATCTCTTCAAAAACACGCCATGGATAATCACCAGTACCTGCAAAACCTCCATACATCGAGATCAAGACATTGGAAACAACCTCATTAGAAGCACGTCCTGTTTTCAAAAGCAAACCATGAATTTGCATTCCCAACCTAAGCCCACAAGCACCTAAACCCTGACAAGCCCTCAAAGCACTACTACAAGCATAATGATTAGGAATAAACCCCGACGAAACCATTTCACGAAAAACATGGCATGCCTCATCAGGCATCGCATTTCGCGAATAACCCGTAATCAAGCACGCCCAGGTAACTAGATTTCTGTCCAGCATTCTGTCGAACATATCATGGGCAGAGACCAAATCACCACTTTTGACGTACAAATTAATAAGGGTGTTACACAAATACAAATCTTTATCAACCCCATTTTTTATAATATCCAAATGGAGTCTTTGCGCATTGAATTCAGAACAAGAAAACAAGTATTTTTGGACGAGAAACTCGCACTTGTCTGAAACTGTAGGAACAAAATAGGTTGGCTTTTGGTATGGATGAAAAGCTTTGTCTTTTGTTGTAGTGATGGTGGGATAAGCAAAGTCATTCGAAAAAGACTGAAGAACTGAAGCTGCAAATGTGCTGAAAGTATAAGTGGGGTTTGGATTTTGATGGAGTAGTAGTTTGTGTCGTGTTTGTATAAGTGCTGCCATAAACATGGTGAAAAATGGTCACCGCTGATAGAGCTCAAAAATATTTTGCTGCCTCATTTTAACCTTGGCGCCATTTCAGCTCTGAAGAATTTCATTTGATGACTTTAAAAAACGGTAGCAAGCCTTATTAATGTTGGACCATCTTAATTCCATTAATCAAAAGAGATCACAGCATAGAGCTATTTGACCGTTAAAACTTGTGGTTTGAAAAAATATAAATAATTATTTTATTATAAGGGTTAAATGAAAATTTTAAAGTAAAATTATTTTAAATATATTAATGTGTCATTCTTTTTAGACAGACCAAGGGTGCCACATAAATTAGAACCGAGAGAGTATTAGGTTAAAGGTTAGGACGAGTCTGGGCACAATAATAGAGTTCCTCTTTGGTGTTCTGCAAGTCATGGTACTGACTATTGAGACAGAGGCGGATTTAGGGAGGCAGAAGGGGGTTCACGAACCCATTCGTCGGAAAATTACACATATAAGGCAAAATCCATTTTATGCCTCTATATGTTATAAATCTCCTTGACATAGTCCAAAAGCATAGTTTAATAGTTAAGGGGGTTCAAAACCTCTGTGAGGCCGTTGAATCAATTCCCACTAGCCATAAGAAGGGCTACAATCTCCTATAAATTAAAGCTCACTCTTCTTCCATTGGTAGCATTTACAAATGCAGTCTTGAAAGATACATAATAATAGAATAAATGCACTTCATAGTTACTGCATAATTCTTTTAGCAAAATAGAATAAATCTTATTTTCACTATTCCTTCGGGTAGGGGTAAGGTCTGCGTACACACTACCCTCCCCAGACCCCATTAGTGAGATTTTACTGGGTTGTTGTTGTTGTTGTTGTCACCACAATAACCAGGAAAAAGAACTAGCTATAATATGACCGCAAGAAGTTACCTAGTCTACATGTCAGATAACAGGACATTCAGCCTATGACTCTGAGCCAATGACAATAAAAAAGAAACGGGAAAGAAAGCCTCTCTGCGCTCCTATGGAAGTGGTAATGTCTGCGTACACACTAGCCTTCCCAAACCCACTTGTGAGAATTCACTCATTTTTTTGTTGTCGTTATAAAAGGGAAAGAACAAAAGACGAAAAAGAGATGTTTTCCATTATCTTTAATCGGAACTGCTATATGAAAACCATCCTGAATTGATAAGTTCAGCTAAAAAGAATGAGATTGGGCCAAAAAAACCTGGGATATCTCACATGAGCCAAACTAAATATACAACAGTTGCAAAACAAAGTAATAATACAGTTCTTCCATAGTATTGCAACATAACGGTATAGCTCAGGCACCCAACAGTTGCTGACATTAGCGAGTCAAGTTAGCAGCACTTGATCTTGTATTCCAGCTGATAAGCTAAAACCAGATCTGCTTCACCATTCAACTTCATCAATGGTCTCAATCTGGAAGTTTGATCTATTCCAAGAAAATTTCACTGCACAATGTTGTATAAATTAAAGAAAATAGGAGTATCTAATGTGTGTCCTTTACATTGTGCCAGTTAATTTGTTAGAAGAAAGATATGTTCTTTGACAACTAAGTTATGCTGGACTCTCTGGATGTGGAACTTAGACATCGTCAACCCCAAAGGCTAGCTCCTGAGAGGAAGATTTCCTGAGACCGTATAAGAAGACGACAATCCATACCCCATCAACCAATGTGGGACTTGACACTCCCTCACACGCCCAAGACTGGACAACTGGAGCGTGGATTACGAGGGCCAAACATTGAGCAACACAACAACAGTGACCAATGAATCTGATTCTGATACCCTGTGAAGATATGGCCTTTGAGCCTAATTTAACCCCCCAAAACCTAGCTCGGATGATTGCGCAAGACCATGTAAGGAGATCACAACGCATACCCCCTCAACAGATGTGGGATTTGACACTGGAGAAGCCATGGAGAAAACTGGAAACACTTCAACCATGGAAATTCCTCCACCAGAAATTGATGCAAGTCTTGGCAGAGAAAAACCCGGGACAGTAATATAACAATGTGCCTAAATAAATATCAAGATGCCCCCGTCAAAGTAGAAAAGAAGATCCTCTGCCCTCGAAATGCGATTTTTGCAATTAATGGTCCTGAAGGAGAAGAGACTGGCATGTGCAGCTTTTATGTAGATAACATGGAGGAGAATCGAAATTCTCCACTTCTAAAACCATCACTGCAAAAGGCTCATCGAGCAACAGATTAACTGATTCTCTGAAATAAGCCTTTTCTGGAATCTTGAGCCAGTATGCCCCTGATGAAGCAAAGAGATCAGCAAAGAAATTCTCCACTCAGTTCTAGTGAATTCCATTTGCAAGAGCCTTGGTAAACAGAGAAGAACCACTAGAAATAATGAAATGTGACCATCAGCAGATTTTGGCTATCAGTTTGTGAAAATCTTGGCAAGCTTGTCTTAAGAATTTCATGTAAATATGTGTTGACTGCAGCAGGATAGTCGGGAACGCTGATGCTAGTGGTTGCTCTGGTCTGTCAGTGGAAATTCAACGAAGATAATGAATGAGGATCTCTCCGCCTCCCGAAGATACTGGACGGTTCCATTCATGATTTTAACAAGTTTCTGGCTGATGTATAGGCCAAGACCTTCCCTTGATATACTCTGACTGTAGTAGAACATCTGTTGAATTAGCTCTTCAGGTACGCCTGGGGCTGGATGAGTGATTCTGCAATATAGTTAGATTTACGTAAAATGGAATCAGATCAATCTATCAAACTATAAAGGAAACCTTATCTGAAGAATTAGGAAAGAGGGATGAGATACTTTTATCATTTGAAGTGAGATTTTAACATGGTATAAAACAAAAAGATTACAAGTTCAAGTAGTTAAGAATCTAGCGTACCCAAAATAAAAATAATAATATTATGTATCCTTGGTAAGAACATATAACCACCTCCTATGATGAAAAGTTTGTAATGTATCTAAATTCTTTTAGTGCACCGTGGAAGCTGTGGGTTTAAATGATTGTATTTTGTCCCCTCACTTGGTTTTATGCGTAATGTTGAAATTTTGTTTGTCTACTTGTATACTTCTTTCTTATTTTCACAAAGTGATCAATTTTCCCCTTCAAATAGTTAGAATGGTCATACGGATGCGAAAGTACAATAATTTGGAAGAATATAGATAATAAATTGCAGCTGGTTATCAAAAAAATTGCAGCACTATGAAATTTGGATAAATCGAGAGATTTTATATTTTTTTTCTTTCTTCTTTCTTTTATGGAGGGTACTCTCAACTTGCCCCTTCTCCCTTTTTTTTTTTGGCCGAGGGTCTATTGGAAACAGCCTATCTATCTCCACAAGGTAAAGGTAAGGTCTGCGTACACACTACCCTCCCTAGACCCCACTATATAGGATTATACTGGGTATGTTGTTGTTTTTATGACCGAGAAATCCATCAGCAGCCGACCCTTTGGGCCAACCCGCAGCTTTCACAACTCAGGGACACTTAAATACCAGAGTTAGTTCGCTTGGCGCATCAAACCTACAACCTAAGACACAAAGTCCCTCAAGCTTTGCCAATTGATCTAACCCCTATGGGTAACTTGCCCCTCCTCCTCTATCCATACCCTTTTCTTTAACTAGAAGAAAATGCTGGATAGTATGATAATGTACGTAATATATTCCATTTTACTAAAGGGAGACGAAAGGATCATTCCAGATAGTTTCAAGATTCAAAACCTCTGGTCAATCAGTGAAAACTGCTATAAATCATAATCGAGCACTGCATCTGCTACTTCTAGGTAAATACTGACCGATCAGCGAAAAGAAATTAGAGGCAGATTGCCCCTATTTAATATGCTTATTAATTTGACACCATATTACGTTAAGAGAGTCAAAAGATTGACGTGCAATACGGCATTTTAATGCTGTTTCACTAGGCCAAAAGGCATTATTTAGCCTTTTTATGCATCGGTCACCTCCAATTCAAGAGAGAGGAAAAAAAAGAGTGGAACTTGCCCACTTTGTCACAACAAAAGTTAAAGTCGAATTAATATAATTTACTTTGTTTAAACAATTTAAGCAGCACGAATTATGCTTTCCCATAAAACAGCAAAAGATGCATAGTAAGAATCATGGAGTACAATCACCACCCTGACAACCAAGCCAGGACTACATTAATATAATTAGCAGTAATTACTTCCTTACAATCTAAAACAGGCATGCAGACTTCATTTTATTAAATGACTTGCATGCAAGATAATCAATAAATCCAAATCTGAGAGATAAGAACTGATTACCGGAATTCAAGATGCATGACATGCATCTTGGTCCCTATACGTTCCTTTCTTGGAATTACTCTGAGCACCACAGAGGAATCTTCAAAAGGAACAGTAAAGAGGATAACTGTGGTCAAAAAGTCAGAAAGGACTTGTTGAAGCCTCAAACTGTCACCAATCAGGTACATGTTTGATAGTTCGACAGGTGAATCGCATGTGACCTGAACCTTGCGCTCCTGACTTAGAATCATAACTTGATTGATGACCACTGTAACAACTTCGCCAAGATTGAACTCACAAGAGTTCATTTCCATATAGCTGAAAGAAATATTGCAATGATCAGGACTGGTCCAAAAATATATAAAGATAACAAATATCTGATGCCTCTTCAGGACCAGATCTATCACATCTAATATGTGCTAAATGATTCAAGAGATGCAAATTGGTGTGACCTTAAGATGCCATAGTGCAATAATGAGCGCAAACATTATCACAAACTGCTTTGTGTGATAATCATAGACTCCGGCGGGTATATGGTTTACTAACAGCTACTTCAGATTACTTTCCTGATTAACAGTACAAATTTCACATTTTAAGGTAGCAATCATCCATCAAATTTACGTCATGGATCCGTCACACTATATATTCCACCCTCAACTCTATAACTTCTTGTTAACCCATGAGCTTACTCCTCCTGCTCTTTTCTTCCTTTGCTAAGTGATGTTAAATCAAGTTATTTAACTGATGCATCGCCACCCATGATTCCTTAAAAAGAGAGAAAATGTATTTTTTAAGACCTGACACCAAATTTTCAATTCACAGTTTTGTCCACTGTAATTCTCTGTTTGGAAACTAGAGAGCAGATCAGTTTCATTTCTGGCCCACTATTTCCTTTCCTA